AAGGTGGGGTACACCCTGGACGAGACGCCAGTGGAGCACAGACAGGCACAAACACACACAAGGGCCAGTTCTCCCAGAAACCAATTAACCTACCAGTGTGATTCACCTACGTCCAGATCGAAATTTAGATATTTTTGTGATACTGGAATATCAAAAACACAAAGCTTTGAGATGTATCCCTAAAAGCAAATCTAGGTTTTCTTTATTTTTTTAAGACAAAAAAACAAATATTTTGTAACCATGTAAACAACACTAAACATGATCAATTATATTGTCATGTGTACTAGCGCAATAAGTGCCTGTCAGACGCAACAATGCATAATGAGACTACACCCGTTGTTGTTAAGTTATGCAGGGTGTGCGGTATTTTAGGATAGTGCGGGGTTGCAAAATACTCTGCAGAGTTTTGGCATGTAAGCAGATCGATAGACTCCGATAAAGCGCTGTAACGAAACATGCAGCCAGTTGTCTAAAAACACTGAAGAAAAATTCGGTATAAATGCACTGCATTTCTAGTGGTTTAAACATCACAAAACATGATAGCGGTTATACAGCGGATTAAGGCGATACTACTTTGCACTAATCAAAAGCCTAATTTGATTTCGGTTTGCTCGTGCTTGTTGCTGTCTTTTTTTAACCTCAAAAGAGCATTTTCTTCAGTCGGTCTGTTTAACCAAGATAAGAAAGAATGCAGTCACTCTAAAAGTTTCCAAAACATGTGCGTGCGTACTTCCTAAGACACCACTCGACAGGGCAACAGCGTTTTTTTTTCGCGTTTTTCATTTTAACTGAAGATAACTTGAAAACACTGCACATTGTCAACGGTACTAAATAAATCGCAGGTCACATTTTTTCCCCCACTCAACGCTGATTTATCTGTAGTCTCATGCAATGCTGCTTATCTCACCATTATAACGTTCCAATAGTAAAACTGATTTAGACAGCATGCTGAAATTGCTGTAACTGAAAATATTCTTTGTGTTCATCGTTACCTGCATTATCTGTTCGAGAACACATAATTATATATGAATTCGCCCACTTTCATACTAAATAAAACACAAATCGACCTTCTTAAATTTTTCGTTCAAGACGTTCGGCGTGAACAGACCAACACAAAGCCTCTTATATAGCTTTTATATCTTATATATCTCATTTAGCTGGAACGCAAAACATCAGCATCGTTTAAAAAAGAGCAGCTACGTTTTCTAAAACTCAGAATATCGTGCTCTCGTTCGCCTCTCACCTGAGGACAAAGCTCTTGCTGTGTTCAAACGAACATACCTGAACCAGGTTTCCTTCGGTTTTAACCAGAGTCCAGTTATTGGACTCTTCAGGCATTTTTGCGAGCAGAGGTGTCTACCAGGCTGGGGTCAGGTTATTTACTGGCATATCCCTACACGAGTCCGAATATCCCAGCATTTAGCAGCAATTAGCAACTGTTCCGCAACTCCCTTAAAACAGAACCTGATCATTCAGAGAGGGCGGAGACTCGCATCTCTGGGCGGAGCGAGCTAAACACTGGTTTCGTACAGGGAATGCCTTGAATAATAATAATAATAGTTTTGATATTGTTGTCGTTATTGTTTCAGTGAAACTGATAGCTTTAAGGGTTTATTCTTGGTCACTTCACATTCCAGAACCACACTTCTTTTTCATTTAAACCAACTTAGACCCAGCTTATTCAGTCTCCATTGAACAACAGCAACGACAACAAAAACCCAAGGCTGACAAGTTTAATCATGTTTGGACTGTGGCTGGTAATATGATAATATATGCCCCAACTTAATTTGAAATTAAAACAACTCAGACTAACCTCAGGAGTGCACTAAGAGTCTGTAAGGTCCTGTTGTTAAGATAAATGGAATGCTACCGGGACGCTTTATTTAAAACTCCAGCCGTGCCCACTGTTGCCCTGCAGAAGCCACACGTGATTCTGAACCCTCCCATGCCTGGCCTCTCAGATGAGACCTAAAACTGAGGTCCTACTGTGACTCAGGAGCAGCTGTTGCACAACTAGTGAAGAACTGATGCACAACTCAATCTTCACAAGCTGTTTGCATGAAAGTATCAGCAAAGTGACTAAAAGGAATGACTGTTTACATCGTGTTTTAATAAGACCTGACCAGACTTGATTGTGGTGCCCTGAAGCATCTAGCTTCCTAACAGAAAAAAGAAACAGTTTCTGTTGTGTACCGTGATGGATAAACTATCCCAGGGCATCAGTGTGTTTTTCATGGCTCATTTAGCACATGGATATTCACTCCTGATCTTGGAGGGAAGCCACATCGTCTTCTTTTCAATCCTCTCAGGACAACGCCCTCCAGGACAACGAGCGAATGTTGCCATTTAATCCGGCCTCTCAGTGCAATGATTTCCTCTTGACACCCAGTCTCAGTTTATCTGTGAGGAGCTGAGATGTCTGTAGCTCCCTGGAGTATCAGGAGGTCTGTGCTGGGGTTCGTGGGCTTCCCTGCATTCAAGCTGAAGTTTGATCATCATCGATGATCTGATGATTTGCTCAGCTGGACAGTTTTCCAGGAACTTCAAAAGTTGCTAATTGTATATGTAATATCTACAAAATCATTATTTTCAAGTGTAGATGGAAGAGGTGAATTATTCTTCTTAATTGTCTAAGTTGTAGCTGGCTGAGCCACAGCCTCCCAGGAAGGGGGATTGGTGACACTGGTCAAGAGCGATGTTCCACATGACTTTCTGGGAATGTATACCAAAGGCTGTTTTACCTTCTTCTTTTGAGAGAATATGAAAATTGTCCCAATATCAGTACATCCATTTTTTTTCCCAGTCTGCAAGTGCCATACTGTAGGACTATTTGTGGTTAACTTACATGGCTTTTTTGCTTAAGTAGTTCAGGTGAGTAGCTGCGTCAGCATGCATAGGCTGCAAAGGAACAAGTAATAGGTTTTTTCCATGCTGAAGAAAACACAACGTTTCGGCCGTGGAGCCTTCTTCAACCAGTAATGCCCATCCCCAAACTGGTGCCAAATCCAGTATAAAGTTGTGCGGCCTTTGGCAAAAGACTTAAAGGTAGGCGGGTTGGAGGAGTAAGGCTATACTTAGTAGTAAGGCTACTCTCATGTGTGGTTGCGGGGTACATAGTAGACACCAAGATGTAACAAAAACAATCTGCTATTCCAAATCACAAGGGTAAGGCAAAAGCAACCAGACATCTGAAAATTATACCATGTGGACCTCAACGATCCCTGCTCTCAACACTCCAATCTCCTCTAAATAAATGTTTTAAAATTATTTTAAGCCCCAGAAGCACTAAGAGGTAGCCTTTTGCTGGCACAGAGATCCTTACTCTCTCTATATTACTTCACCATGGTTTTGTTTCCAGGATGAAAGCCTCAACCATAACAAAAAGGTGCCTGGAGATTCTCTGCAGAGAAAACTGGGAAGACAAGCAGTTTGCACAAGGCTGCTCTTTACATACCACAGCCCCAGAGTCCAAATACGAAGATCTGTCTGTGTTCAAAAAGGTCTGTAAATGGGGAAAAACAAAATGGGGGCAGTCAGTCAGAGGAACCGCTGTGAGAGGAAGCTCTTAGAGTGCTGTTATTCTGCCCTGTAACACCTTTTAGAAAGACAATGTTGGCAGAGGACATGGAAAGAGACTTAAGCGTCTCACTTATCTTCCCGATCTCAGCACTGAACTTTGGCCACTAACCCAGCGACTCCAGAACCAAAGACATTGGCGCTACCTAGTAGTGAAATTCTAATTAAACAAAAGACCATAAAACAGGACAGAAATAAGAAGAATGTATTTGGCCCATCTGGTTATTCTGTTGAATTAAAGATAAGAGTTTGTTTCAGCAAGATGGCTGGGTAGCTTGTTGCACACTCCCACAGCCCTTTGTGTAAAGAAAGGCCTCCTGTTCTTGGTTTTAAATGCATCTCCACATCGTTTTGTGCTTGTGTCTTCTAAATCAGGCCTAACTGCTTATTCTGAAGTCACCTGAGTTGACTTTCTCAGCACCTTTGAGGATTTTTAATACTTGGACCAGGTCTTGTAACCTTCTCTGTTCTACTAAGAAGCTTCACTGCTTTTAATCTTCTAGTGTAGAACATGCCTTGAAGACCCAGAATGTATCTAGTTGCTTTTGTTTAATTCTAGAACAGCAAATCTTCTTTTGTAACATGGCGGCTAAAAGTGTACACAAAATTCTAAAGGGCCTTACTAGTGAGTTGGAACATTTTAACATCTCTTTATTTAAAAGTATACACTACTTACTATATATCCTAACACTTTGGGTGCTTTTTTATTTCTTTCACACATTGTTTAGAAGTTCTAACTAATAAAATTAGTAGCCCCTTCAAGCTCGGCACTTCCTCTTTTGTATCTATAGAATGATTTTGCTAACTGAATTAATATTGTGCTCTTGTCTACATTCAACTATATCTGCCAGGTGTTTTCCCGGTTTTTAATTTTATCCAAACAAATGTTTTCCCCATTCCCTGCTTCTACAGTGTTTTCTGATCCTCCTCTTTTGGCACCATCTGCCAACGTGACTACTACACTAAGTGTTCCAGAATCTAGAGAACATCGAGAACCCAGGACATACCTGAAAGGTAAAATAAGACAAGTACAAACAAATTTGCAGGATGTTACTACTGTATTCCTGAACATTGTGGCCTAGGGGGGCTATTCAGCACCAATAGGAAAGCCAAATGCTTTATACATAGTTTGTGGAAATGAAAAACAGGTTAATTGTGAAACTTGAGTATCAGTTCAGCTGAGTAACTGGGACTCTGTTCTTCGTCCCCTGGTTCCCGATTCCAGACTCCCGCTAGCCCTGCTGTCGAAGAAGGTTCAATCATTTTTCGACAGCACTAGAATTACTACCTGCACAGTTGGACAAATTCATTGGTCTTGGTGTCACTTAATTTGTTCCCTAATTCACATGAATTGTACAGATGCGTCACAGAAACAAAAACTGTAGATCCCGTTTCTCAATTTAAAATAAAGCAACTGCACCACACATTTTCCAAAGCAAATTTTATACACTTTATATAAGCAATATTACAAGATATGTAAACAGTAAGCAGAGAGAAATAGAGAGACTTTAGGCAACGCTTATTATAACACTTTTTCATGTTAATGTGTCATCCAAACCATCAGGGAGGTTAGAAAAAAGACCAAATAAATTATCTACAAGAAGCACATTTACAAATCAGCTTCCATATACAAAAGACAAAACAAGGAAGAGAAAGACCTAATTGTGAGAAAGTAATTGCGTTTGTTTTTTAAAAATCATTACAGAAGAGACTGCTTACAAAGATAAATATTCTGCACTTGGAGAGAGTTGTTCCTGTTTTCTCCTCTCACATTGCCCGCCCAGTGTTATTGTAATAAAGCAGACCTTCCCATCTCTGCAAATGCAAGAAAAGGTCACTGTTATAATACCCCAGAGCCAATGCACATTCTTTAAAGTTTGCCCAGAGACTTCAAAGTAGCAGCTTTAAGTTTGCTAGTATTTGTGACCTTATTTTTGCCTTACTGTGTTGCAAACTGTTGGTCAGTTCTTTTATAGTCTGAAATTGTTACTTGCCATGGTTAGTCTTCCTGGAAAAAGAAGTGTGTCAACTACATAGAGAAACTCATAATGCAATGAATGTTGTCTTGATGCATCAGGCAACACTGATACCCTCCCCACTTAATTCATTCCACTTTCTCTTAACTGCCTGGGTTTCGTGGTAAAATGTGGAATGGTTAATTAACCTGCAATGCTGAAGTAGTGAGACATGTTCCCACAGAGTGGCCTACAGAAAAGACCCCATTCCTTTCTTTCCCTATAGCTTTGTAAGTAGAAGCTGGAATTCACACAGTCCAATGGAGAACTCAACAAGAAATCACCACTACATGTGTCTAACGAGGAAACACAATCTAAAGGATAATGAGTACCGTGATTCTTATGGAGGATTAACAAGATGCAGCAGCAAATGAGCTGAGATCTAAAAATACTACTTCGGGAGAGAATGACCTCTGTGCTGGACTGTGCGGTCTTGGGCTAGGCCACTTTAACTTTAATAGATGTGCTGCCCACTGGTGGACAGAAACGGGAGCGCAAAGAACCACAATAAGTCATCGAAAGAACTCTTCAACATACCCTGTTCTAAGAGATTTTGCTTGCTAATCAAATTAAAATGTTAAATACAGGGTTTAAAATGAAGCAAACTTAATTTTTCTCCAAAGAATATTTACCAATAATGTATGAATTTACAAGCTTAATGACTATTATCAGAAAGGTGCAGGGCATTAACAGATAAAGGAGGGATTGATCACAGCAAATTGAAGGCACCCGACTGTCAAATCATGCCCTCAACAACATTAACCCTGACAAATACAATAATTTGCTTGCCCTGCCCTACTGAGGGCAAAACACTGTATAACCAACACCAGAGTATATAGAACAGAGTAATATTGCACAAATAGACATATGGTTACATAGCAATTAACACGGGGTCATTTCAACCCAAGTTACAAACACTGTCTTGTTAGTAAGCAGACTCACAGATACACTCTCACCAGCAAATGACACAAAAACTCACAGCGGAAACATATGAAGCTTGTGTTTGAGGCGAAAGAGGCCTGATGAGACTTTTTCTTGCCAGAGTTATTCCAGTAAAACCATCTTAAAAATATCTAGGTCCTACAATTATCCCAGAACTTCTGTGATGAAATCTGTGATTGCAAGTTAAAACACTAGAACATATTACAGCTGTCTCCTGTAAATCAAAAATGTAGGTCCCTCAACTCCTGATCCCATCCTTACAACCCATGAGAAACAGTTTAAGACTTTTTACTGCATTTAATTTTAATGTCGCTGATAAGCAGATTGCTGCTTTAAGTCCATTTTCTTTATTTCTAAGCTTTTTGGCTTCCCCGAGAACAACAGCGCACAATCTCACTAATCAGAAGAGACAAACTGAAAGAGGTTAAATCTATCGCATACCACACCCATCTAGACTAAAAAGCAGAACCCTTGGTAAACAAGCCAGTACTGTTAGACACATTTCAATGGAAGCAGCAAGGTGTTATAATAGCTGTGAACCAGTAACACACAAGACCTGACCTGTAAAGGCAACCTAGTTTGGATGATTTTAAGTTAACATCTGCTTTCTGTATATTGCTTTTTTCATATTTTGAAGTGCACACGCCATTATGAATGTTTTAGGTAAGTCCATGGTGAGTTTGCAATTCCTGCACAGACTCCTCGAGAAGTGACGTCTCAGAGCTGAATGAGAGGAAAGAGGTAGAGGAGGGGAAACAGTGAGACACAGGCTAAAGCCCAGCAGCTTTCAATGGCCTTTGTACGCCCTGTTGATGAAGACTGCCCATTATGCTGGACACACTCCTGAAATTTAACTCAAAATAATTACAGCTGCTTTGCTATTTTAACAGGGTAAATTGTCTCAGAAAAAAGGGGGAATAATAATGACACCCCTGTAGAAAATTATTTCTAATGTGACCTGGGAAAAGTCTAGGAAAGCTGAGTGTTACATTAGAATAAGATATTTTTGTCCACTTACTAAAGTGGCTTATATGTATTACATCAATGTGCCAAGGGAACAGACATTCAACTTGATTTCAGTCCCTTTAGTTCACTGGTCACAGTCACTTACATAATTGTACAAACTGTGATATTTCAACAACATGCACAGTGGACAAAGTGGAGCACTGTTTTATACCCGAAGGATAGCCGCGTAATCATTAAACAGCCTGGAGTTGCTTTAGATGTGAATTCCAAGGAATCACAAGGAACCATTTTATCACAATCCCTGGCAGACGGACAAGTCTGCAAGGTAGACGACAGCCCGAGAAGAAACAACACAACAGCCTGCTGCAGCAACAGTGAAGTGGGAACGGGCAGATGTGCAAGAAACGACCACTCAGTACAGTACAAATTGAAAACAACGGCTTTAGAGATATACACAGTCTAGTCTGCCGCTGAGGCAAGGACCAGTACAAGTACCATAGAGAGAAAAAGAGCAGATCCAAATTGAGTGAACCAACATTCTTTAGAAAGGCTTTGTGTAAGATCTACAATGAGTTTCACCCCTTTACCTGCCTCATGTGCTATTTTGTAAATCTAACTGTTTTGTCCTTTTGTTTAATAAGAGAGCTCTATTAAATAATCAGTTTCTACCATTTATTCTCAATAGTTAAATTGTTAAAGGCATCTAGGAATGTTTCCAAAATACAGCTCTACTAGTTTATACAAAAGATTGAGGAAAAAGAACCAAAAGCTGCTAGCTTTTTCTAGTGCTCTGAATGCTCTGAAGCCATTCAGCTATTTAAAAGGACACTTCCTTTCCTAAAAATTAAACCTTGTTTAGCATGTTACACGGAAGCAATATGTTTAAGCATTACACTAGAATCTTTTTCGACTAAGTTTTATTAGAAACATGTCTAGCCCCTGACACCTCAACCTCCCACTCCAAATAACCATGACATAGGTAATAATGGAGGAGAGATTTGGACAGGAGAAGCTGATGTGTTTCCTTGATGCTCCACTGTTCACAAAAAGGTGACAGAGAAATTATGTAAATCAAGGCCTGGATGGAACACCTTCAACTTTGATAACATGGTTTGAAGACTAGGAAACAGAGTCACCTAGTGGTCATTATTGGTAACACACAAAACAAAAGAAAAGGCTGAAAGCGCTCTCTTGAAAAGTAAGAGGCTTTGTGGTTTTAAAAGCATTGTCCTTTCTCCATCATGTACTACTAGAAGAAGGCTCAGTATTGGACACCACAAAGACAATCCTCAGCCATACTTCAGAATTACATTTTGAGCTGTGCCTCAACAACATAATGCTACTGAGTTTTTTTTTCTGCTTGGGGAAAAATATCCAAGCTGGTCTGTGCTCTCTGAAGTCCTAGATATTTTTAAATTACTTAAGTATAAATTTCCATCCCTAGCTCTTAAATTGTCAATGAATTGCCTGTATAAGAAGAACCCAGTCAGGTTAAAGCACAGGCTTTTTGGAGCAAAACTTAGTTATGAATTTAGCAATTTTTTTTAATTTGTTCAGAAATCATGAGATTATTTTAATTCCAATCTTACCCTTCAAATATAAAGACAATCTCTGACTTGTACCCATTCTGACTGGATGTTTAAGCATATGTAATACAAAAACCTACAGATCAAGAGCTTTAACTGGAAGCGGATGTATAGCTAAAACACAAAGGTCCCAGACCACCCCTGGCCCTAGAGAGCTGAGCCCTGCAGATCTCATTAATTCATAAAGACTTGTGAGTTTGGATCAATTTATTAAGTTAATTCAGCTCAGTCAGAAATGACCAAATGTGGCACTTGTGAGCTACCGTGTTACTATATATATTTCAAATGATCTTTAACTGAACAAGTCACGTTTATCAATTCTTCAAGCATTTTCAAATTGGTGACTTGGATTTTGGCTCTCCAGGACCAGGGTCGGCCACCTCCGTGTTAGTGTATGAAACAACAAGCACATGCAGCTTTGTATGAATGTTTGGGCACAAAACATTCATTTTTTTTAATGAATGGGACACAAGTGTTGTCTTAGCTCTGCCAAGAACAGTGCTTTCAATCAACTCAATTCCAGCCTTGCAGACTCAGATGTAGACTGTAAATACCAGACTTTCAGAGAAGGCGCACACAATTGTTTTTAAAAAAATGGAATGTGGCACAGTCCTACAAATGAGCCACCTTTTCTCTATCCGATCCATTTAAAACCACTTTTGCCAGACTGAGTTAAATCAAACAAACAAAAAAAAAAGTCCGACTTTCATTAATGCCTCTAGGGCCTCTGCCTCAGTATGTCAAGTCTGTTTTTCTTGGGGGCGGGGGGTAAAGCTTTATGAAATGGGAAACAAACTGAGAGTTCACCCCCCCCCCAGAGCTCTGTTCCTCCTCCACCCCCACCCAAAGCCCTCTGGCCCACCCAGAGGACAGGTCAGAGCTTCTGTGTCTGCTGTGCCGGAGGGCAGGGCATGAAGGCCAGAGACATCCAGGAGAGGCAGGTCCTGCAGCCCTGTCCCACGCCATCACATCAGCTCACAGCAGGAGTTCTGTTTCCGGGCCTGGGAAAGAGACAGGGAGAACAGGACTGAGAGCGTGTGCCTCCCACAACCGTTTTATAGCCACCAAGCCTGTTCCATTTCAAAAAAGCCCTGCAAGTTGGCAAGAGAACTGCAGATGACCGATGGTCCGATGTTTTGCATATTTATAATGATGCAGGCCTCCTGATAAAGCTGTCATTACCATCTACTATGGGGGGTGCTAGTTGGAGAACTTTGATTGCAGCCGTCATAAAAACGGTCTGAATACCGACTAGGCAGCCCACATCCTGGTACTGCGATAACCACTGGCACCATGTTCAAGTAAAATAAACAAACACTCCTAAAACTCCCAAAAAGAAGCTCCTAAAATAAATAAAGAGATCTTACACTATAGATTTTTTCTGAAGCTATTTACATTACAAAGGTGGCTTTTCTAGGATCATAGCTAATCTTCTTGTGTTATACCAGAGGTAGACTTGTATTTTTAAAAATTAACATGATTTGTAATTATATACACATACAGATATTGAAAAGTAGTGAAAATATGTAAAATTACAATGAACAAAACAAGGATTCTTGAATTATTGCTGAAATTGTTTTACAAGCAGTCTTTTTTAAAATATTTCCAATAATCAAGGAATTCCACATGGATTACAGGTAATTAACCAGGTATATAAAACAATATTTGGCTGGCAAAGGTTACATCTTGGTCCAATTTAAAGAAAAATGATTAGTGGCCATTTTCCAGAAATAATGATAATAAATGTGAACAAAAACACTATATTCACATTGGGAAGATTTTGGAAAGTGAAAGGCTAAAGCTTTGAGGTCCTGACCAAAGAACTGATATGGGAAAAAATTAAGCACAATAACTACCATTTATGTTTCGTTTGGTTACATAAGATTAAATATTTTATTATTTATTTTATTTCTTGTTAAAAATTTGGAATTACCAGATATGTGTCTATTATATCTCGGTTGATGGCTCTGAACCATGTGATCGCACACGGGGGAGAACAAGGAAGTTAATAGACAAGTGACTCCCCTGACTAGCCCACTTTCAAGTTATTTGGCTATTGACACATCATGGGCGATGCAGTCACATACTGTAGGTTTAGCACCAGCTGGAGAAAAGGCATGTCCCTTCCAGACAGCACCACCAGCCTGGAAGCAACAGGGAGCCAGCAGGAGTCCCTGTGTCTTAGAGAGCCCTGGCTGACGAATTTCCCACCTACCCTCAGATTCCTTTGGAAATCCCAGTCACAGTCAGCTAGTAACATTAACAAGGCTGCAATCTACGACACTTGTAAATTAAATCCATTGTTGTGCCATTGCAACGAAGCTGAAATTATCCAGACTGTTTAAATGCCCTACTTTTCAAAGGGCAGAAAGGCTTTTTAAACTGGAAAGGAAACAAACTCTCAGAGACACAGTTGGCATATGCAAAGCTCTGTGCTGCGATTCAGACACTTACAGTCTTGTAAAAGGCTTTGGATTGGTTTCCCAAGTGTTCCGACTTCTGCACTAAATCATCCAGCTTCTCTCCTCTCTCCAACAAGGACTCCATTGTGTTGTGCTGTAAATATGCAAGAGCCATTCAGAGCAAATCCTCAACACAAACATTTATCCCCTGCGCTTCTGAAATTGAACACCTTCTGCTAGCTTCTCCAGAAGTATTAAAGTACAGTAATTTGCTGTACTTTCTTTATCTTCAAAGATTACCACAGCCACATTTCTCTTAGAATAAAGGAGCTCATACTTATTATTTTTTTAATTGTGTACATTATAATACCTGCATAAATATAAGTTTTCCTTTGCTGCTGTTGGCTTTTGTTGCTGGCTTTTATTTAAAGTTTTAAGTTTCAAATAAACCTTAGCGTTAAAGGCGGGGAGTCAGTATTTGGTATAAAGTTTTTTAGGAGGAAAAATTACTACTGTCCACAATTCCTGCTGAGATTCTTTTGCTTATAATCCCTAGTTTTCTGGTTTCTAAAAAGTAGTCATGCCAGCTATCAGCATTTCTAAGAGAAAAGATTAAATCTGTTACAAATAAAAAAACAGATGGATTGACATTCTACCACAAGACTGCATTAGCAGCTACTTTTCCACTCCCTGACTCCACAATTAAAAAAAACAATTTCATCAGTAGTGAACAAAAATGGGGTTCATCATTTTTTCAGTACTTTTTAATAATAGTACTACAAGAAAGAATTAGAGGAGGAAATAACGAAAAGACATGGACATGCTAGCTGACACTACACTTTGATGAAAATACTGAGCCACCTAAAATGCAAAACAATTGTATATGGCCAATAAAATGATCTTATAACGTGGTTCTGGATTAGACTGAATTCCTGTGGGACACCTGGAGAGCTTATTACATTTCCACTGGCTTTACAAGTCTGGGTAGAGCAGAAGCCTGAAACAGTTCTAAAGAGATACTGAAGACCAAGTCACGTAGATTACAGAATCTACAACTGAAAGTGCAGCTGTACAGTACTCACCAGAATAATTTTGGTTTCGTCCAGCTCAGCCTGAACTTTGGACATAGCGTCTGCCTCCCTAGGGTTCTAAAAAAGGACCAAATACAAAAGTTCTCTCCACTGGTGTCAACTGAAGAAAAGGCTAAAACAAAGGAACTTCACCAGATCCCTTTCTCTTGCATTGCACTGAAGCAAGCTGCTGAAATAATCAGTGGTTTCTGAAAATCATTTTACAACACTACATTTTTCCAAAAAAAGCACCTATTACATCCTGCTTCTACATGTGATGAATACTTATTCATACTCATAAAGCACTTCCAAAAATGTGCTTTTCCTCTATTTTTCTTTTTTTCTGCACTGCAGATGTTCAGCCAAAATCTAATGAAAAATGATTACTTCTACTGACTTCAACAAAAATCACTTAGAAGGTATTACCTGCAAATAGAAGTGAAATAGAAGTAAATAAACAAATTCACGAAAACAGGAGAGGGGTCTAGCTGTGAAACTTTAGTCATACGCTCTCTCACTTGATATTTGGCAAGGTAGCTGTCCAGAGCAGTGTAGTTGATTGTAGCAGGAGAGCCAGAGGGCCAGTCTATGCTATCCACTTGTCTGGAGAACTCATCTAACACCTGCAAGAAAGATTGCAGCACAAAAAAACACCACTCCATGATATTGTTCCGTATTTCCTGAATCTCTGGTGTGACAGGGAAAATCTGTTGCAAAACAGTGTGTCCTGGCTGTGCTGTGTGATGCAACACTGTCTGACCCCTGCTATCCTAAAACAAATTGATATGCCATGTAAAATGATGTAGGAAAAACTCAAACATTGACTCCAGTATGAATTCCTGGTGGTGGAGGGGAGGATTCCAGCTGCTTTAAAACATCTGGTCAAAATCTCAAATAATAAACATCAGGAAGGAACTGGACAGCACATGCACTCTATTAGGAAACTTTCTCACCTTTTTTAGGACTCTCTGGCTTTTACAAATATTCTCTCTGTCTGAAAGGCTACCGAAGACGTGGCTGATAAACTAGGGTACAGGGATTGCTAGGGATTCTAGGTGCTAGAACAGAGCTCCCTATGGAAATATTTCATATACACTTCACACTCTGAGTGTGCATACTTCAAGCTTAAACAGAATTAACACTGTATGTGATAGCAAGGTTTTTCTTCATAATTATGCTTGATCACTTATACTACAGGTTTTACCTGTTTTGTTTATATGATGAAAGTTGGATTTGTTTTTAGTTTTATTAACACAAATCTCACACACAAATTGTGCCACCATACAGACAGAGCTTGGAACGTCATCCGACTGCAGCGGGCGGGAGGAGCTGTGAAAGCTCACCTTATCAAGGAGTGTGAAGCAGACTCTGGAGGGATACTCGTTGTCAGCGATCACCACCGCGCTCAGAGAGTCATTACGCACGTACACGTGACACAAGTAATCTGCAGGCGAAGCAGAGAGCAGAGACACAGACTTGTTACTTTCCTGCTTCCCCCCATTTTTATTACCAACATCATGTCTTTAAAATTATTTTAGAAAATATATTTTAAACTGCTGTGTGCAAAGCTTTTTTCTGCAAAAAAAAAACTTTACTACACATTCATTGATGTGCACAACCAGGTAGAAAGCAGAGAAGCCATGAAGTTTATGTCATGGCCCTCCAGACTGAACACCATTAACAATCCTCCACAATCTGAAAGAGAACAGGATGCGGCAAGGTTTTGTGAATAACTGAGACAGCTTCACCTGGTACGACGTCAGTACAGCCAGTGTTTTGCAGCAATGAAAAAATAATCATTTCAGATTTTAAAAGTTCTAGGTTTTGGAAATGTTGGATATGCATAATGGGCAGCACAATGGCGCAGTGGTTAGCATTGCTGATTCACAGAGCTGGGGTCCTGGGTTCAGTTCCTGGAGTGATATCTGCATGGTGTTTGCATGTTTTTCCCCCCCAATGTTTACATGGGTTTCCTCCCACAGTCCAGGACATACTCGCAGGTTAATTGGCCTCTATAAAATTGGCTCTGATGTGAGTCTGTGTGCCCTGTAATGGACTGGCGTCCCATCCAGGGTGTATCTTGCCTCGTGCTCGTTGCTTGCCAGGTTAGGATCTGGCTTCCCCCACGATCCTGCACTGGATAAGAGGATTAGAAAATGGATGTCCATAATATCAACTCTAATCTAAGGTGGTTTCAATATTGAGAAGCACTCAAATATTAAAAAGAAATTATTTTAGCATGGCACTCAGTGCATGCTTACACCCCGACACCATTAAAATGGAGTGTAACACCACTTTTATGCTGTAAGATAAACGTTGAGGAACTAAAGGATTTAATTCCCCGTTTTAAGAACACAAGAACAAATGGAAGGATGCCATCTGGCTCACCTAACCCCTTGGTAGTTAGGTGTTACTCGACTCTCACAACAGATCTTCACAAAAGTTCTTTAATTTCAAGACCGAAGGGTTTCAATAAAAAAACAGTAACCTTCTTTACTTGTAAGCTGTGCCTACATGTTAATTGAGCTTTTACAGTACCAACAGCAGCAACACTAATATTTTAAGATTATAAAAAATAAAGTTAGTCACATATGCAAAAATTGCCTACAAATTATATTTTGCCTCTTGTATGTCATGTTATACATAGCTTAGCCACAAAGCTTAACTGGACAATCTGAATGAATATCCAAGTCCTTTAGGCAAAAATATGGTCTTGTTGAATCCAAAGGAAAAAAAGAAAACCAGTGGTCACGTTAACCCTATAAAATGGTAGTTAAATCTGACATTAAGATTTTATGAATACAAGGTCAAAACTAACATGTAATTAGGAGAAAACTAGGTTCTGATTTTCAGGAACAAGCGATTTAAGCTCCCTTAATTAAAACTCACTCTCACATCGCATTGCTCCCAATCCAGAGCGCATTGTGAAAAAGCCAAAAACTGGTGGTGACAAATAATAGGATACATCTATGAGTCTGCATGAACATTTCTTTCTTCAGGTGAGTAGTACTTTAGTTCTTTACAGGCTGGTTCTGAAACTGCCAATCCCTAGTTGAATACAAGTGGACAATCGAAATTGCTCTTACCTTGCTCTTTGACTGATGCTCTGCTGCCTTTAGAAGAGCGCTCCACAATAAGGGCACTGGTGAATGTCATGAACTCCTGTAAGCTGAGAAAAAAAACACAAGACATCTGTCAGCTGTGTGTAGCTGGGCGCCTGGCAGACCTCAGTAGAAGACCATTAATTCGATTTTTAACTGGTCTGAATGCAGCAGCGAAAGGACAAAAAAAAAAAGAAAATGGTAAAAGCACAGGCAGTGTGAAGATAATTTATGTGCTGGCACACATCCAGGATTGGCTACAAGTACTTACAAAAGGCCAGAATGAAATCAAGCCAGCATCACATTTATTGAAATGTCTAAAAATCAGAGAGAGCTCTCTGTTACAGTAAAGATTTTGATATAAGATGCTGTAATGAGCAAGAGTTATTACACACTTTTGCTCTCTGAAATCTGTTATGAGCCATTTAAAATAAAACAAACTTCCTTAAGGCCATTTGTAAGTCAAGGACAGTTTCAGTATAACACTTGAAATAACTTGGTTATAACAATTACAAACAATTCTTAGAAATGTGTTACCCATTGCATAGGTATACAAAAAAATGATTTGATATGTTCCCCAAAACCACATTCTTCCTAGAGTAATTCTCAAGATAGCACTTCTGCATGTGGCCTTTTTAAACATTCCAATAAATGTGATTGTTTAAGATACATTTGCAAATCTGTGGTTGTGTACTGTTTTATCAGTAGTTCAAGTCATTAATCCCACAATCTTTGCTTTGCAAAGGTCATCTTTGAGAACTGCTGTTAAACTATAGCCATAAAATGAACTATTGCAAAATCAAATTCTAAACACCAAATAATAAATCAGAAAACAAAATATAAAGCAAAATCAGAAGGAAAGAAGGAAACTTATTTTGTTTACTTCGTGCTGACTAATTTAGGCTTCTGCTGACTGTCAGTACCCTTATGTTGTTCCCACATAATCTACAACACTATTAGCTTGGTTCTTCTCACCCACCAAATCCCTTTCAAGAATCAGTCACATTCAAGTTTAGCTCCGTTTCATGAAAATAAAACTAAAAATTATTTTTCTCTTCAGTCAATAGTTTGTAACTTCTTATTGCTTAAGAAATTGAGAAAGTGTTTGCTAGCTGAAACGTAGATGCTAAATCACAACAGAACAACTATGAAATTAAGATTTCAGACTGTTGAGTATTTTACGCATCAAACCAAGCCAGGATTAACATACACACAGACATATAATTATCTCTAGGTTGTTCAGTATGAAAATAAACTCATGCCTTTCTTAGATATTTTTTACATGAAGAAATCGCAGACTGCTCGAGTGTATGACTGTTTTTGTTGAGTGACAACACGTGTCTGCTAATGTGTGATGTGTGAAACAGCTGTTGAAGCTGAAGCTGTGGGATTCTCACTCAGCTTCGTTTCCATAGAAACCAAGCAATGAGTTGGATTAAGTGCAAAACCTTAACCCCTTAAGGGTTTTTTTTTATTCAATGCCCTACAGTGTCAGAAATTTCAAACCATACCCGCTGGTCCACATTTGCTGTACACAAATCTTTTGCTGCTACAACACAAATAAAGAATGTGATTAATCTTGCATTACATTCTGAATGGATATTATGTTTTTTTTCTGCCTTATTTCCTGTTCAATGCTAAACTGTGCAGTTACAAACAATATGTAGGAATGTCCTACCCATTACATAAGCATACAAAAAAACTGATTTCATATGTTCTCCCAGAATCACATTCTTCCTAGACTAATTCTCAAGATAGGATTTTTGCATGTGGCCTTTTTAAATTCACCAATAAAATTGATTGCTTAAGATAAAATTGCAAAACTATTGGGCTTGAACTCATTAAAAAATATTTTAATTGGAAGGGTCCAATTGCTTTAGACCCTTCAAGTGAAACCGTCGATTTCCCTGAACCAGGAATTACAAGAACCTGGCTCCAGAAGAGAAACTCACATTATATCTTGGCCTGTGACTCTCTGTCAGTTTACACTGACAACATGAGTGAGACAGAGGTCACATGGTTTGGAAGGACATATTCACAGTAACTGGACTGCCAATTTGTTCATTCAATCACTACAGCAAAACGCCGCTGGGAAAAGGCACGAACTCACCTGGACCTCTGGAAGAAGCTGAAGGAGGATAAATCATAGGCACCTTTGAGCAGGTTGGCTTTGGTTGCCCCTTTATAGAGGACACTCAGGCTGTAAAGCTTCATTATGACTCACACTTGGAATCACCTGGGCGTCCCAGAAGCTCTGAAACACACCGAGACACAGCAAACCAGTACAGAGCAGCACGTCTTCCCTCACTGACCAGTAATCCCCACCACCACCAGAAAGACTACGTTTCCATCATCTGGAGAGCAACAGCCTATTTCAGCAAAGAAGACCAAACATAAAAGAGTCACAATACTCCCATAGATGTACATTCTTTTTAAATATATTGTAAACAATCATAGTAAAACAAAGTTGCAATGACACTAAAGAGGTGCTGCTTGTCGGCCACACCAGTGAAATATCAATGTCAATATCATGGGAGGTTTAGTCTTTGCTGCAAGGCACGCCATGAGCTGATTGGGAAAGTCCTTTCAGAAAAGCGAACTTCTTAATCCGAATGCACTGATACTGACCACTTATTTACCGTGAACTACGGTGTTGTGTTGTATTGAGAGTGGTATTCATCACTGCTTTTCACTGAAAGATGTAATCAATTTTTTTTACAATTATTGTTTTACCGGTGATGTCGCATTCGGACTGTTACGCTTCCAGGCTGCTCACGAAACGTCACCTTTCCTGACTTAAAACAAGCGTATGAGATCCTGCAGGTATTTGCTCTTTGCACCAGCTGTCCTTGTGGTATTAAACGGCAAATGCAAAAGACAAAATAGCCACGGACTTTCTCACAAATAAAACGATTACGTCTCCCAACATTTTCCTGACCAATAACGTCCAATTTAAATTATCATTACATTACGTTAAATGGCAAAAGTTCAAGGATATGAAATGGGGCTGTTATTTCCGTGTTACCAGAGTCTCGTGTTTTAGATTTACTCTCAACAATACTTATTAACGGCATCGACTTACTACTGAACACACTCAGTTGGTCTTGATCAAGCGGCGATATAAGTATATATTCATAGGGAATACTTAATACTGCCACTATTTAATCATCTTATTGTCTCCGATTTAATCTCGGGCATCTGTTTCTCCCTATTAACACTACTGTTTTGGGGAAGGATTAGTTTAGTTCCCCTTACCAATTACTCTGTTGCTTCTCTTCAGACGATTAGAGACCACTCGTATTATAGCTCCAACAGCCACGTCAAGGCAGAAATGTGTCGATTCCTCTACTGAAGGTATGGAGGAAAAAGAAAAATAGCACTGAACGTAATGACGAATCCGAACTGTAAAGCTACCCTCCGAAAGGAGACTGAGATCCAGACAACACCGAAAGAAACTCCCTTTCTCTTTCTTCCCCCGAACCACGTCACTCAACTCCGGCGGAATTAGGTCCTACCTTCAAACACCCCCGGCGTGCAACACGAGCCTCTCATGATCCGTGCCTAGAGTTAAGTGGGTCTGCACCTCAGGGAAGACGCATCAATTTTCAGGACCCTTCGAAAATGAACGTTATGCTTTGCTTTTACAAAAGTAATTTCTTCTTATAATACCTAATATGTACATCTGAAAGAAATGATTTTACTTCAACGAGAACTGGCCTTGGGAATCGTATTTTCGTTTTGAATGTTGCAAAACACTGGATTTTATAGGGAGTTTTACAAATAAAGTATTCGCTTTGTTGCGCCTGTCCATGCATTATAATTGTCGACTTAAAATAAAGTCATACAAGCAATTCCGAATTAAACTCGTTGTAGAATATCGGAATTTATTATGATGTGAAATAATTCTGAAATTATAATTGGACTCGTTTGGAAAAATTGAATATTGACAATTATCCCTCTTTATTGAGAAAGCTTTGTAACACGCCTGTTGTCCTTTCATATTTGAGCTTTCCCTTTCTAAAAACAAAATAATAAAACAGAATGGCTTATTTTTCCAGTGCAAGCAAATACCGAGTGCTATGTCACTAGATGGCGCTGTATCGTAAAAAATCGTAAAGATTTGTGACACTTCTTAATTCGGCTCACCAGGGCTAACAGGAAACATTGCAACATTTGTGAAAATCGAGAATATTTCCCAGATAGTTCAAACATGCACAACGTTTTCAAAGATTTGCAGAATATTTTTTTATTTACTAAGTCTATCTGAAAATGTACTTGTTTGATTTGATCAAACTCGAAAGACTGCAGTACGTTAATAACTCAATCACGTTTTCTGATCATAGTTTGATGTCAACAGCCTCAGCAGATTTTACCATAATGTCGGTGTCCTAGTGTGACCAAAGGTTGTTGTTTATCAATAGGTTCGTTCATAGACGTTCCGATTCATTTTTAGTCAATAGATTAATATGTCAGAAAATCTGCTTGTGAATTTTAGAATTGAGAATGTGTTTAGTGAATTTTAATAGGCTTATGTTATATGTTATCCTATTAGGTTTCCTTGTTCATCCTCTGTAGAATATTGGAAAAACACGTGATATAAGCAGTAGGGTTTTTATTTAGAAGCTGGAGGAGACCCTGCACCATCTTAGAGTTGCTTATGATCTTATCTCCGAATTGCTCCGCTGATGACGAGTATTCAGGGTCTGGCCGTGTAGAAATCACCTTTTTGACAAAGCTGCAGTTCCTCCTCTCATTTCTCCCACCCAATCCCAATACCTCTGCCAGCTTTTGCGATGCCCAAAATTGCCGGAGCGAAATGATCTCAGCCTTTCGCTGTATTGATCGCTCCGTGTCCTTTACTGATGAACAGTCAAGCTTGAGTGGGAGCCACGCAATTGAGGACTTTGCAACTAAGCCAATGTTTTCCTAAGTAATTTTGCCCCATTTAACAATTTCCTACTGTCCACTCGCTTCATTGATAAGTGTTTTCCATACCAGAGGTGAGCATATATGGAGAGATTTCCAGGGCAACGGATTCAGAACGTTGTCGCCAAGGGAACAGGAAGGAGGACTGCTCTGTAAAGCACCTGGTGGTTGTGGCAGCAATGGCAGTGCGAGTGCTTTTAGTAGAGACCAATAGGGTCGTTTTTTATTTCTCGATTGCCAGGGAAACAGAATGAAGAACCGGGGAAACGGGAGGGATGATGGATAACCGTGTCCTGTCTGCGCGCTTTCTGACCAATTAAAATCAAATCAATGCAAGTACGTCCCTCTTGGGACTTATAAAATTAGGGTGGAAATATATTGCTAATTTAAACAAGAAGAAATTAAAGATAGAGTAATATGCCACGTGAAAGGATTCTAAGAATTGTTAAATTGATCACCCGTGTTTAAAGCGCGCAACTATCACGGGACTAAAATGATCAATGCTCGCTTTCTTTTCGTTTAGATTTTTAATAATACATCTTAGTTCAATTTGTTTTTTTGTAATATTTCCTTGAAAATCTTAGGGTGAAAATAAACGATGTCGAGTTAGAGTTGAATTGTTGGTGTTTTTGCACTCTGGAGAGAGATGCCAAGTTGTCTTGGTTAAATTAAAATTTTTTAAAAAAACTTTTTGAAATATTCTGCTACCACGATGAAGCCCAATGTCTCGACTGGCACGAGTATGGAATGCGATTAAAATGATCTTTGAGAGGCAACGGAAAGGATGACTTTTACTCAGACGACAACTTCCCGTCCCGTATTTAAGACACTGGGGTCTTGAATTTAAAGTTGCGCTTTCAAGGTGTTGTAGAGCGCAGTTCTAATACTGTAGGAAACTTTTTGCTTTACAAAACACTAAGATGCTTACTCACCACATACAGTATAAAAGAACAGAAGTGCTTTGAACATGGACACTAAAACTAATCCTTAAAGAAAGGCTCACTTTTCTGAGAAGCTTGGAAGGGTACAAATTGGTGAAAGTACTTAGGGTTGGTGAACATGAATAAACACATGGATATTCCCGCTGTTGTACTGTATCACTTCCAACTCGCGAAGCGAAGCCTTATACAAAATGCAAGGTGAATTTGCCCATCTTGGCAGATAGACTAAGGAGGAAGGGTAGTTTTCGGAAGCAGGGATAAACAGGTAATCAACATTTTCTAAAAAAAAACTGGGGGAAATGTAATAATAGACTATCGTGACAAACGGAAATCGGAGCTCTGATTAAACTCCATGTCCATATCCCTCCTTACAAAAACAGCTTTAATTATGAGCCTTTTGGTGTAGTTATTTTCGGGGAAGGTATCCATCTGTCAACGGCACCCAGCCTCATTGTTCACCCAGAGTGGTCGCCCGACTAGACGCAAGCGAACCCCTGGACAGTAGCACTCATGACCGGTGGGAGAAGTACGATGGATCCTCATATTATGGAGAAGGTAAGATTAAATCAGTCTTCCCCTTGAATTGCTTGTTATTTCAAAATCTTTAGCCTGATAACGGCGATTAACTGATACGCCCAATGAGAGGGTATATAAATCCCTGACGTCACCTTCCGAAGTTCCTATTTTGTAAAACAGACCAAAACGTAATTACCTTCACTTAGTATATTTCGTAATTAACTTCAATTACCTTCACTTAGAGTGTTTCCTCATAACTGCTTAAGAGTACATTTATATATGTTTGTTTCCCGCTTTAAACTTTGTTGATCCTCAAAATGTGATTTTAATCATAAACCAACTTCTTGGGTTGTTCAGCAGCATTGTACCTTTGCCGGGTGAGAACAGGTTATCAGATTATGATCATGTCATCAGCAAATTTTATTGCTGCAGTTATTTGTGAATAATAACCAATTTAACGTTGCCGACTAAATAAAAAAGACACTGTAAAAAACACTTGTGGATAATATATAAGATGATACACGCGAATGCCCATTCAAATCAAAATTAGATCTCTATGTTATACAACCGCAGCAACAAACCATATATGTACCTATATATGTATATTATGTATTATGAGCTAAATATTTAGTTTGCTGTATTTAGTATCTACAATACCTTGCTACACTGACATTATTTGAAATACGTACTGTTTATGACATTTACTAAATTATATTAGTGTGATATATGACAGTTTGCTATATTGTACATCTATTTTTTTAGTTGCATAATTCGTTTGATAAATTGTATACTTTAGTCTGTGGTGTTTTGGTCAATGAAATACATTTGCTCAAGAAGAATGTATTATAATTGAATTACCAAAGAATGTCTTATTCCAGGACAGTGAGCTTTGGTCTCATTTGCTGATTTTGCTTATTTCCTTGTTTTTAAATTTTTATGTATATTTCTGTATATGTAATACTGCTTGTGCATATACTGTAAAGTCAAAGAGCTGCCACTTTTGATTTTATATAGTAAGTGTGAAAAGGTAGAATAATATCTTTGATAAGAATGATAAGACGATAAGACTGTCTTCTGTGACGCATTGATTGGCTGAAGAGCTAGTTAATATTTATACCCACAATTCTTTGCAAGCACCACATGGTGTGGTACCCTAGCCTTGAAAGGCTATTACTTCTTTTGCCACAGTATGTGCTCAGCGTGATGCAGAAGTGCAATGATTTTGTCATAATTGCATGAGTAATCAAGCCCTTTTTTGTGACAAGCCGAAATTAATTTAATTGTATAAAATTACCTTAATGTGCCACACAATTAGTTGGGTGGCCTCCGTCTGTGTGTACGATGTTAGTGGTTCACATGAGTTCAGAATAAATATACTTATTGCTGTAAGGTCCCTTAGTCAGGTAGTTAATTTCACATTTCAAAGACCAATGAGCTTTCAAAATATCTGAGAGAAAAGGGTGTATAAAGTATAAAGATCAGGCTATATATAGCATGCAAAAACATTCTGAAATCCTTAAATATTTCTTTGAGTATAGAGAAGGCAATCATTAAGAAATGGAAGGCACCCAGACACTGCCTTGATCAGGTCCCTCCAAACTCAGCAGCCAGGCAAGGAGGAAACAGGTGAGGGAGGCCACCGTGAGGCAAGCTGTGATTTTGAAAGACTTACAGACTTAAGTATTTGAGATGGGAGAAAATGCCCATGGGTCAACAGAGGGGGCTTGTATGGAACTGGGAAAAAATACAGTACATCTCAAGTCCCTCAAGGGGATTGCAACAAAGCACCTAAGTGATACTGAAGTTACTTTCACCAACTATTGAGTTCATAGGTCTTTTTATACTGTACTATACTCCATACTTTACTTACATTATTCATGTCCTTTTTTGTGTTTGTTGACAATTTATTTAACTTATCTTACCCTTACAAGTCTTTCAGTATGAGCATTTGTGTTGAATAGAACATTAAGTTTTAGAAAATGTGTACACATCACACCATACACCAGCCAAAGGGTCTGAATGCTTTTGCAAGGCACTGTATATATATATATCTGTACATGTGTATGTGCAAGCAACAATGTTTGAATGTGGACTAGATGGCTGCAAAGGTGTAAAGTCTGCCTGTATACTGTACAGGTTTCCCAGTCTCCTCCCTGAATGCTGCAGTATATGCTCATGAGGTAACTCAATAGACAGTCTACGTAAACAGTACAGTAAGAGCAGTCTAATTGTGTTTAATAACTCGTGCAAATCACCTCTGTCGATGCACTTGGCACAAACTCAACTGAGATCCTTATTTGGCGTGTGTCACTAATCAAATACCAAGAAAGGTTTATGCAGCTAATGGCGTGGTCGAGCAAGAATGGCTCAACCATATTTTTTTGCTTTTCTTCTTTTTAGCCTATTTTTTTTTGCTTGTGCTCATTTCATCCTTCATTTCCCACTTCGGTCAAAGGGCACTGAGAGCAGTCAGGAATAACCACACTGAGGTGACACACAGATAAACTAGATGGCCTAGTCTGGACTGAATTTGCTTAAGGTTTGGAGCAATCAGGGCTGTACAAAAAATATCATATATTTATGGAGCGACTGCGCACCAATTAAATAGTATTATGCATTAAATAAAATTTACATGTGCATACTAACAGCTTCTTCTTCCTTGAGAGCAGATCACTCTGGGAAGAGAACTAAACCATTCATGAAAAAATGTTTTTTATTATTGCAGTTCATTTTCAGTATTATTCCATCGTCAAGGTATAATTGCATTAGATATCAAAAGCCCCTTTTCCTGCAGAGAACAAATCATTGTTGTTAAACTTTATGGTTAAGTATATATTAAATGGCCTAATCAACCCAGAGGACCTTTTAAGACAGTGACAACACAAAGGCTTATAACTGGAAACTGAAAGGCAATTCATTTAGGACAGAGACAGAGAAACACTTTTTTACACAGAGTTGTGATTAACTAGAACACCCAGATAGCTGAGACCCAAAACCTGGGAACTTTGAAGAGGTGGCTGGACAATAATTCAGATCCACATCTTCACTCTGTGTTTTATGTGCTTATGACTTCAAATCCTTGCAGGCTCTGAAAGTGTCATGCCAGCACCAAAGTCGAATGAACAAGTATTTATTGTGTTTCACTCAGTTTCATAAACCAACAAAATAGTCATCAGCATAGTGTTCCTTCTCTGCCTTGTTTCTTTTCTTTCTCCTGCACACACAAGCAAGAACAAAGAGATGCAGGACGCCATTCTGATCATTCATACGTGCTGATCAAATATACATTGGTACTTTGTAAATTTTGACAAAGCTGTTGTCCTAAGCAAGAATGAGGCTCTTAAAGTTATGCAAATAAATTTTAAGTGTTAAGTAATTATTGCTGTGACTTGCAGAACTCAAACAAAGATAAGCAATTAACATCCCTGTGTTGTCCATAAAGGGCTATTGTTATCCCTGCTATTCATACAGTAGCAATGACCCAATATCAATGTGGGATCATATTTTGTGAAGTCACCCTCATTTCTGCATAACATGGATGGGATCAGCGTCGTGGTCCATCACACTGCAGCCCATCCTCATGATGGAAGATGGTATCCTTGGAGTATTTAACCTACTGTAGCTCACATTGTCCACAGTCAGAGTTTCAGGAGTATCTGAGTAGTGGATACCTTACCCTCATGTTCCTATTCATCCACTCAGAGCCATTCCAAACCACCTTGATGATCTTCAACAGGGAACGCTTCTCAGTACTGCATTTTCTGCATTAATATCACATATGGCCAGCTCTCTCTGTTCTGGCCTGTGAAGAAGAAGAGCTAAGGTTAGTGAGAGGAATCCTGTACAACAAGATTCTTCCAGAAAATAATGGTTCTTTGGGTTGCACGTGTTTAACTTACTGGCTGCGCTGCAATACCTGCAATGTTGGGGTTTTTTTTCTGGTTTGAAATGACAATATTTCAACACAGCTACTGTGGAGCTATTGACCCAGAAAGACTATCCTTGAAAGAGAGGGTCAGTTCTAAATATAAACTTGTGTTTGTATTGATGAGCTGGAATAGTTTCACACAGTAACCTTTGGCATAGAGCCACAAACAGTGATTCAGGGGTCTCTGCCTACAACCCTGTTCACCTCAGCTCATTCTACGGTTTGGATGTGATATTCAGAGTCTAGGGTGTCCAGAACTGATGTAGAATAGCTGATGTACCTTTGCAACCACATTCCTAACCAGTACACTATGTCACATGCTTTGTGTTCTGTTATAATCTTTAAAGTGCCGTATGAAATCATTGCTTTACACCCTATAAAACATTTAAGAACAGTGAAGATGGAGTGGCCTGCCAAATGTCTCAGCCAGTACAGGGCTAGTGAGAACCTCAGATTAAGCCCTATGTTGTGTTCACTTTGTATTTGATTTGCTTTAGAATAACAACTAGGGGATGCTGTTGGGAATACTGATAGGATATAGATGGGGCATGAAGGAAATAGATAGGATAAGTAATAGCTACATTTAAACTGATAGGATATAGATGTGGTGTGAAGGAAGTAGATGAAAAATGTAATAGCCACATTTTTCAGTAAAGGTTATGTTCTTCATTGCTTCATTTCTACACAGCTAAATACACACGACTCTGTGTTGAAGACATGGCTGATTCATTGCTTGGAAAATAGAACAATCAACCAACCAATCTCAATGGGTTAAAGTGAGAAAGGGCATCCTCCACTTGCTGTATACTAAAGACCTCACAGGTGTTGTAGGCATCTGTGATCTTGCAGCATTTCACTGAGAGTGGCATCACTCTTCCTTTTGACACAATTATCCACCAAATGGAGGACAAAGCTTCTATTGTCCTCATATTTGCTCTCAGATACAAAGGTTGACAGCATGTGATTCCAGATTAGAAGGAAAATATGTACAGCAGATGAATAACATTATTGTTTACGAACAAAATTTAGACGTTGATGATCAATGGAGTCTTAAACAGATGTCTGGGAGGGATTATCTTGTACACTTCTGCCCACCCACTTCTCAACATTG